GGAGTTCGCGACGATCGTGGGCAAGCCTGCGATCCCTTCAGACTTTGTTGTCTCATCGGTTTGGTCCACGCAGAGCCTGTCCACCCAGCAGCGAGGACCCCAGACTCCGCAAGTGAGCTCCTGCCCCAAGAAGAAGAACACGAAGAAGACAAGAATTGGGAAGTCCAGCAGGAACCAGAACACGAAGTGGATGGACATATCAGGAATAATCAGCATCAAGCCTTCGGAGAGCACCACAGAGGCTGTCAGCGCCTTTGCCGCCAAACCGAGGTTCCTGGAACGTTGCTGAGAGAAACTATAGTTGTGTTAAGGAGCCAACGGAATAATTTGGAACATAATGTAGAGGCCTTAATAGTTAAAATAGGGTTTGGGGGTATACTGTACTATACTTATGACAAGGACCGCCCCCAAACCCTATTCTAATCATTTAGGCCCCTATACTAGCCTATACTATATAACTCTACTATAGATCTCGTTACAGGAACCCTCTTCTAATTATTAAGGCCCCTGCATTATTCAAGGCCCTATATTCGCAAGTGCCCCGAAAGCCTCGCCAGAAAAAGCCATGGAATTTCTTCGGAGCCACAGAGCATAGGGTTTAGGCTAGGGATTAGGGTTTGGGGGTTCGGGTTTAGGATTTAGGGCTTTAGGGTTTAGGGGTTTAGGGGTTTAGGGTAGCGGTTAGGGCTCATATCACAAGTAAAACTCCGAATGAAGTTCGACCCCGGCTCAGAAAGTAGCACATGGCCACGTATTTCTCCCATCGGTTAGCTGACCAGGAATGGCTGATGAACACATCCACATCCTTGACCTTCGACCGTTGATTTCGGGCTGATATAGGGGCCTTAATAGTTTCGATAGGGTTCTGGGGTACAATAGACTATACCCATAACAAGAGACCCCCACAATAGTAAAATAGTATAGGTAACTACTTAGGCCCTATGTTAATTCTACCAGCCACTTTTCCCCTTACAGCACATAAAGCGCAGCATGTCGCACTGAGAGCTCCCAGAGACTCCAAAACCCCTTAATTAAGGGATATACCTTAAATTATAGTAGGATCCCTAATATGATTTAAGGAATATTCCTTAATTAAGGGATATTGGAGTCTCTGGGCTGGCTAGGTTTTGTGCATGGAGGGTTTTGGGGCTTCGGGCTCTCCTTAACCCCGAGCTGTGATCGCGAACTACGCATTCTCTGCGGCCACCTCTTCAGGATTAAAACCCTAAGCCCTAAATCATAGGGGGCTTAATATTATGATTTAAGGTACATTCCTTGAACCCAATGAAATTCGAGATCCTCAACCCTACATCTCATGTCTGGTGGGAAATACCCTCGCATACGGGCACTCGGAGCCAAGTACGGATCAGATTTGTTCCAGATAGAGGACTAAGACATACGCTTCACCTGGATCCGAAGAAAGCTAGTTCCCTGTTTTCATTTCCCTTTTTCCTCCGTCGAAAGATGTGCTTATTTTGGTCAAGGTAGGGGGTTAGGCGAGTTCTGCAGGCTCTGAGATTTTGGGTTTCGAATTCGGAAGGGTGACAGCCAGGGGGCTGGTAAACTAGAACGGATATAATCTTCATTGACGTATATGGGAATTACAAGGAGCCTCTCAGATCAGAAAAAGGTTTTGGAGTAGAATATAGTATACGTAAATGGGAACTACAAGCGGATACAATTAGTAACGCTAAGGGTCCAAATACTCCTTGCTATAGGACTTTGGGTCCATTTTTGTATCCAAAAACCAGAAATAAGGACTACCCTAAACCCTAAACCCTAAACCCTTAGGGTAATTCTTCCGACCTCTATATTTAACCTTGGCCCTGGTGGGATAAAAACCCTCAAGCCAGAGGGCTTAGTCTCGTTCTGGGCTTAGGCTCTAGCGTAGTATAGGGTTTAGGGTTTAGGGTTTAGGGGAACAGGGGGGTATGATGATAATAGGGAACTCAAAATCATATTCCAACTGTTTAAGCTCCAATATTCAGTCCTCACGCTCGGGACGAGATTTCTGAGGTAAGGCGAGCCACCGGGGTGGTTCTCCGAAAATCTTCGATGCTGCTGGTATCGAAAACTTGCCTCACGGGGGTCGTGACGCATTTGCAGGGTGTGGGGCTTGGGATGTACGGCTTGTAGGGCCATTTAGTGATTGCAAGCGTCGCAAATTCTGGAAATTCAGAGCATCGGGTGATTCCTGGTGCATTATAAGGATGTGCAGACGGCTTGATCTCCCGGGTTGGAACTACGGGGCCAGAAGCGTGTGGACTACCCTAAGGGTCCAAAGGACGCAATTATGTAATTACTCGGGTTTAGGCCAGTGGTTATGCAGGTTAGTGACGGCGAGTGTTTGGAGAGTACATGGGAGTTTCCGAAAATTGGGGGTACCTAATTTGGGGGTTCTTATAATAAGGATCCTACTATTTAGGGTACTATATTAGGGTCCCCTCTTTTCGGAAACCCCCACATGATTCTTGGGTACCCGCGGCCTTGGGGCTATAGCAACAGATGTGTCTAGACGTCTTGTTGCGTCCGAGTCGCCCCAAGCCTGACAGCACCTCCACGCCGGAAGCAGCGCGAAATATTCCGCTGCGGCACAACTCACTGGCCCTGGCCTTCCATCGTCGCATGGACTCCGCAAGCTCCCCCGGTGGCGTTTCGGTTTGAAGGCTCAAGCAACATCTCAAACAGCTGATGTGAACATCCCTTGTTCTGAGTCCCAACATCAGACACGCAAGGCTCGAACCAGGAATGCGAAGCGCAATCAGCTTCGCGGTCGAGCAAACAGTTTGCAGCAATCTTCTCAGCACTTTCTAGGCAACACCACCACCATCAAATCTGCAAGGCATCACCATCATCACCATCATCCACATCATTCTCATCATCATGGTCATCACCATGGCAACCACCAGTGCTCTCTTGCTTGTCTTCGGTATGCTCGTCACCAGAGTCACCAGAGCCGCAGAATCATCAAGATCATCCTCCTCCTCATCATCATTAGCATCATCGTCGTCATCATCCGCAGGTGAAGTTTCCAGAACCCACCTTCAGCAGCAACCAGATACTAGTCTGGAGCAACTTGCATGTTGAACCCAACACGACGCTAACCTAGCGAACCTGCACCCGCCACCTAAAGTTTCAAAACATGCGGCCCATCTACGACGAAGCCACTTATAGGATTGTCAGTGCCAGTAGGTTAGCAGGTATTTTATGGCGTGTATCACCAACCTATCACCCCAACTGAACTCTAAGCAAACTTCCTCAGGAGCCCTTGTATAGGGGCCTTAATAACTATAATAGGGTTGGGGGGCCCACTATACTATAATCATAATAAAGAACCCCTACAATAATATTGGAAATTATTTTGGGCCTCTATAGTATACCTTAACCCCGAAGAACCTAGCTTTTTACGGACTTATATAAGGAAATCATATTAAGGAACCCTGAAAAAGGTAGGTTATTTAGGGTTAAGGTATACTCTCCCTGGCTTTGGGTAGTAGGGAATGGAAGAATGGTAGTAATAGTAGTTATAAGTGTACCCCATTCCTCCATTCCCTACTAACCAAAGGTAAGTTTTCTAGTCCGACACCGAAGGGCCTTGAGCTTCCGACCGTTCTTGGTGCCGAATACGGCGGGGTGTAATGATTAGAATAAGGTTTTGGGGCTATTGTTGTAGTTTTTGTGATTACAGGAACTGTAAGAACTGTTTTGGATAATGACTCAGGCTTCTGTCTGCACAGAAACAACAGAAATTGTCAACGCCAGAGCCCCGTAAACTTCTAAGGCCCTGACCCATGACACCCTAAAACTGTGCGCACAATGCTGGTAATCTTAATAAAGTACCTACATTCAAACAAATGCCCCAAAATGAACTTGAGAATCTCTAGAAGCATCTGAAATATTTGAAGTAACAAGGCAGAAAAACGGTATAAACTGTATTTGGCAATGGATCCTGCAAATAACAGGTCCCAAATACAAGCATTGAAGTACGGTACTCCAGAGCCCAATTATGTATATATATATATATATATATATATATATACATGTATATATATACATACGCGCATAATTGGGCTCTGGAGTACGGAGTAATTTTGATCCTTTTTAAAGCTTCTATAAGGAATAATATGGCTAATTAGTCACGGCTTCTGGATTATTCTAGGGGAACCCAAGGTTAACGTTCGAGATTGTGTAGGGATTACAGTAATGCGTAAAGGGGAAAGGTTGGACATGGGGTTTCTTTCTTTAAGGGAGCTATTACATGTCCTTTACAAAGTTTCTATAGGGTTACTACTGGAGTTTGCTCTAGGGCCGTAATAATCAGACTAGGCTAGGGGGTGATCTCATACAGGAGCTGTAAGCGCAAATTGATATCGGCTGTTGGGAAACTCCAAATTGCTTTGTTGAGGCTCCATACTACAGTAGACCCCAGAAAGTTGGAATATGGTTTCATGGTAGGATACCCTATAATTTACCATAGAAGGGTTAGGATAATCATATTCCAACTTTCTGGCTTCTACTGTACCCGCATATGTCTTTTCGAAGTAGGTCTTCTTTGGCTATGAAATCCCAAGCCACGAAATCTGGCATATTGAAACGTAAGGCCCCCAATACCTCAAAGCCCTTACTGGACTCTTGTTAAGATGAGAGTTTAAGTTCCCGTCATGGAGATCGAGGGCTAATAACTTTCTTGTCGCATTATTAAGTTCCTTGTCCTTAGCTTTAGCCTCCGTTGTAGTACCTTTTTCTAGTTCATGGTTGGGATCGGATTAAAAATTTCATTTTTATTCCTTTTTGGGTTTAAGTAGCTTAAGTACCCATAAACATGTAAAATGTTCCCCAACTATGACAAGGTTTTGTGGCTCATGTTGAGGATCCTACAAAAGGTACTCCCTAAAAAGGAACGACAATGGAGCCGATGGGTACGGGTCGTCAGACCATTCCCTGCGACGAAGGCTGAGTCTAAACCCCGTACAGATTGAAAACTCTGTTGGAAGCCCCCTTTGGGTTTAGGGTTCAGGGGTTTAAGGTTTAGGGTTTAGGGGTTTTTAAGGTTTGGGGATTCAAAACAGAACCCCAAGCCCTAAACCCGAATCCCCAAGCCCAAAGACCGCAAAGCCCGTTTCGACACCCTAGGAAACCCTTATGCAACCAGAAAGCCCTCCTGAAGAACCCCAAACCCTAAACTCCTAAACCCTTACTGGACTTTGAAGTAACCTAGACTTTCATTTCATAATGGTTCCGTTAAGGAACAGGTACCCCAAAAAAGTATTCAAGTATCGTACTCCAAACCCAGGCTTAACCCCTAAACCATAGCCCCTAACCTCGAAACCCTTACAACTAAACCTGAACCCCTAAAACGTGGCCCCCAAGGCCGTGGCCAGGAGGTGATCCAGCACACAGGCGTGTACGAAGGGCACCTCCGACGTGTCGGCCTGCGGAAGTTGGAAGTCTCGGGGTTTAGGGTTCCCATAAACCTGGAAATACAGAGGCCCTAATATTATGATTTAAGGTATATTCCGTAATTAAGGGGTATTGGGATTTCTGGGAGGGTTCCTACAAGGGCTCCTTTTAAGGGCTTCTGTAATGGGACCTATCAGGAAGAATATGGATTTTATAAGGAATACTATGGATCCTGATTTTTATTTAAGGCTTCTATGCGGAATAATACGGATTGCTGTTTAAGGCCTCTGGATTATTCCAGGTTTCTGAGTAGCCCCTTTATTATAGGGGTACCCTTTCTCAACTATTGAGTTTTTAATACGGAAACCCCAAACTAAAGAGGGCCGAAGGGTACTACTTAGGAACCTAATTCTTCATGGGCACAGTCTTCAAGAACAGCAAGGATAGTAAGAACAGACGAAGGTGTAATATGATCACCAAAAGTGCAACTTGTACCCACTCAGCTACAAAGAATCTGCTACATTGGTAACTACAAGATGGATGTGCAATCGATCAAAGCGATTGTGCGAGACCCCCAACACTTCGTCAGCTCCTCACCCTCCAAGCAGCCGCAACGAACGGGGAATCCGTCACCCCCTGATTTCACTCTTGGGTCCAGGTGTGACGTGGGGAGAGGAGGGACAGGGGGTGGTCGGGATGGAGTGGGGTGGGTTGCGGGGCATCAGAGCTGACGAAGCAAGGGCATGAGCAAGACCTTTGTACAGGCGAATAGTTACGGGCTTAGAGGTCCCAACTTAAAGCCGCACCTACTAGATGAGACACAGGGCGCCTTGGTTTACCGGGTGCCGCTGCCCAGGGATAGCCACCCGCTTCTTGCATGCCCACCCGTTTACAAAATCCTAAACCCATCTCCTATAAAACCGCGGCTTTGCGTTAAGGACACCACATCGAATATGTCTAGTTGCTGCCGTGCTTCCTCCCCCCGGACCGCCGTCTCTCGGTCGGAGGATTCCACGGACCCCCACTTGCATAAAGCTGAACTTGCTGGCTAGGGAAATCTGATCCACGCACAGGGGAACTTTCTACACTCTAGACTGCCTCAACATAAGTTCCCAGCAGAAGGGCCCAAAAGAGCCAGGGTTCTGGCATCAAAAGAGCATTCTCATTGCAGAGAGTAGCAGACAGCAAAGGGATAAGGTGGGCCCTTGAAAAGAAGGGGGGCAACATCCCAGCCTTGAAACCTTCAAACGCTGAAAGCTGTCACCACTTGGGTGCCTGCACTCAGTAACCCAGAGGCTAGAAGGGGGTCTGGAAGTGATTGTGGTTGCCTGCAAGGCTAGGCAAACGAGGCGCAATTCAATCGACTTCGAAAGTGCATGTACATACATACATATGAGTATACATATACTACGTCTAGATCTATCTTATATATGTACATATGCATATACGTTTATTTATGTAGATGTGCGCACGCATGTTCTGTGTAGTTTGGCAGCTATGAAGGCCACTCAGCACTGAGCTTAGGTGCCACGACCGAGTCCTGAGCTTTGTTTCTCGTGCAATGCGTAGCCCGCGTCTGCACTCGCTGAGCCTTTGATTTCTCCGGCTGCGAGGTGGCTAAACCCTAAACCCTAAACTCCTAAACCATAACCCCACACCCCTAATCCCTAAACTCCTAAACCATAACCCCAAACCCCTAAACTCCTAAACCATAACCCCAAACCCCTAAACCCTAAACTCCTAAACCATAACCCCACACCCCTAATCCCTAAACTCCTAAACCATAACCCCAAACCCCTAAACCCTAAACTCCTAAACCATAACCCCAAACCCCTAAACTCCTAAACCATAACCCCTAAACCCTAAACTCCTAAACCATAACCCCAAACCCCTAAACTCCTAAACCATAACCCCTAAACCCTAACCCCCCAAGCCCTTTCAGGCCTAAACCTCGAGCCCTAAATCCTACACTGTAAACCCGGTGCCCTGCACTCATACACCCTGAACCCAGTTTTGAGGATCTTGAACATAGGGTCTTTTTTTTTTGGAATCGGGCTGTCGGCTCCTTTGTAGTATAATTGGAACCCTATTACTTACTATAGAACCCCATTATGGCCCCTTAAAATACATCCCTTAAGCCTAAACCCTAAACCCCCCTTTAATTGGAATATCTAGAATAAGGAAGCCGATAAGGAATAATATGGACAATCATTTAAGGCTTCTAGATTAGTCCGGAGGGGCCGCGCGTCTCAGCGTCCTCGCGTCCTCGATGAGCTCTTCGCAGGTGTCCTCGATCTTCCGATTTCGGTTGAGGGTTTAGGGGTCTCGGGGAGTTAGGGGGTTTAAGTGAGTATAAGGTTCGGGGAGTTAGGGGTTTGGGATTAAAATCCCTTTAGAGGTGTAGGGATTTAAGGATTACTATAGGGGCTTAAATAGTTACCTATACTAATTTGGAGGTCCCTTATTGTAAGTGTAGTATAATGGGCCCCAAAACCATATTCTAATTATTAAGGCCCCTATACTATAGAACCCTCCTCTAGATCCCTTATAGGCTCTTCAAAGGAACCCTTTGAGGGGAACCCTATTCTAGTTGTTAAGGCCCCTAAACCCTAAACCCCTAAACCCCTAAACCCTAAAACCCTAAACCCTAAACCCCTAAACCCTAAACCCTAAACCCTTAAACCCTAAACCCCTAAACCCTAAACCCTAGGGGTTCAGAGCTTTTTTGCGGTAGGGGCTCGGCCTTCAACTCGGCTCCCCTTCAGGGGAATGCCAGCTGCGAACGCAGACTCGGGTGCATTCTCCTGGGAGTTATAGGATCCTTAAGGGAGGGTGGTTCAAGGGGGGAGGGTATAAGGAATCCTTAGGGGACTGTAAGGGAACCTTAGGGAGTACTAGGGAGGATTAGGGATCACTAGGCTATATACCCCCCTTGGACCCTCCCTTAAGGATACTACAAGGGAGGGTTCTTCTTACCTTTGCTTCGTCTTCCTTACCTTTGGTTAGTAGGGATGGGGTTTAGGGTTTAGGGTAGTAGGGTTTAGAGTAGTAGGGTTTAGGCTTAGTAGGGAATGGAGGAATGGGGTACAAGTAAAACTACTATTCCTACCATTCTCCCATTCCCTACTAACCAAAGGTAAGGCAATCTCCTGGGAGGGACTTCATTTCAGGCTACCCATAAGAATGAAGCATAGCAGTTCTGATAGATCACAAATATTGTAACTTAACTTAAGCTCCTTAGCAACAACCAGGTATCCATCAACAAACTTGTGTAATTAGGGCAAGCAAAATTTCAAACAACATTCCTTAAATATTGAATAATAAGGGAAATTAAGAATAGTTGTAAATCGGTACCCAGTTACCACGAACCTCCTCCTCCTCCGCTCACTACCACCACTACTACTACTACACTACTACTACACTACTAGTAGTAGCTCATACTAGGGGAGAAGAGCAAAGAATAACAAGAACTCAGTCTCATCCTCGCCACGATGACTTCGTCCGGCTGCAGTGGGCCGCTCATGGCATCATCAGCTCCTGACTTCCCCACGGAGTAGGCTTGAGGGTTGAGTTTAGGGTTTATGGGTTTAGGATCTAGTTTAGGGTTTAGGGGTTTAGGGTTTAGGGGTTAGTTGCGGGATTACGGGTTTAGGATCTAGTTTAGGGTTCAGGGGTTTAGGGTTTAGGGGTTAGTTTCTGGATTATGGGTTTAGGATCTAGTTTAGGGTTCAGGGGTTTGGATCTAGTTTAGGGTTTAGTTTCGGGATTATGGGTTGAGGATCTAGTTTTGGGTTTAGGCATGAGCAGTAAAAACTTTTTAGGATAGGGCTACATTGGAACAGCCCATTTCGAAAGTTCATAAAAGTTGGGTCTTGGACCATCCCTACTTAGAGGTTCATGGTACTTAGTAGCTAGGGTTATAAATAAGGTAACTATACTTATAATTGGTTATACACTTATATCCCCAGTTAAGGTACTTACAACTGTACTTACTAAGTCCCATGAACCTCCAAGCAGACCCTCAACTTGAAGCTTCATAGAACCCTTATAGAAACCCCCTATGGAAACCCTTGTAGATCCCCTGAAGGGGCGCTAAAAAGAGGACCTCAAAGTATCCCCACATTTTCCCTTAGGACCCTTTGGGATCAAGCCTCCCAGAGAGCCCAGTACCCCTTTATCAAGGAATATACCTTAAATCAAAATATTAAGGCCCCTATATTTTGAGGCATATTCCTGACTTAAGGGGTATTGGAATCCTCTAAACCCTACAGATCCGAACCCTATAGATCCCTTATAGATCCCTTTAGGGAGCCCTAAGGTAGATTACTTAAGGGGGGCAAGTCTCCCAGAGAGCACAGGCGCGGCCCCGGTCGGAGCCCAAATCCAACTCTTCCAACTCAGACCTTGGCTTCGTAGCTCGAAGTCTTTGGGCCATTGACGGTTTTCGGATTTAGGGGTTTAAGCGGTTTAGGGTTCCGGGTTTTGGGCTTTAGGGTTGCAGGGGCTTCTTTGACATTTTGACAATGACCGATTACAGAAGTGCTCGATGCGAGCTGTTTTGGATCGGGGGGAATCAGCTGGGACGATGGGCCTGGTGGTGGTTGTAAGTTCGGAATATGACTAGGAGTGTTTTGATGATGAATACGATCACATCTGCGTGATTATTGGAACTGCTTTTGTTGTTGCTGCTGCTGTTCATATTAATCATTATGAGATTATCCAGTCTAGTGATAAACAGCACCTATTCTCGTGGGAGCTCGGAAACCTGTTGATTCAAGGTAGCCGGCATGCCTTAAAGTGGGCTCTTTTTACGGAGCTCAACTACTTAAGTTGCCACTATGTGGAAACCCAGCTAAGGGTTCAGAGTTTGGGGCTTATGTTTCTGGGGTGAAGGAGCTGTAGGCTCTAGGGCGGTTTAGGGCTTCGAGGTCGCGTTTGGGGTTATAGAGCTTTCTATGGCTTAGGGTTTCGGTTATGGGTTTATAGGGATATATTCTAAGGGTTAAAGACCCCTAAGCCCTAAAGCCTACCCTAAACCCTAAACTCTAAACCCTAAGTTATGGAATGTCATAGGGTTTACTTGGCTGACTTCTGAACCCCTCCAAAAAGTTAAACTTGTAGCCTCCTTATATTGGTTCATACAGAAACCCAAAAAGTTAAAGTCCTAAGAGCCAACCGGAAGAACTGTGGGCCAAAGGATAATGCAAGCTCAGACGCTGTGAAAGATGCGGGTCTGGAATGAAGCGGCAGTCTGGGATGCCATTCCAGCCTGCTGTTGGCTTTACCGGTTTAGGGTTTAGGGTTTACGGGCTAGAGCTTGAGAAGGTTTGACTCAGTGACACCAGCAAGCATGTGGAGTGTCGGCGAACACGGCGAGATTGAGTCAGAGCATCGTGAAACGTAATTTTTGGATCAAGCTCCGGCTCGAGTAGCCGACGATGCCTGCTCTCCAATCCCATAGCTTCTGCAGATGCCTGGCTAATTTGCAGTTCTACTCTGTAGGGCTGTCGATGATGTTATGGTCTGACCATGCAAACCTAAAGCCTAAATACTGAAACGGGCGGAGTGTGTGCCTTCAGGTGTCCAGCTGCCGCCCAAGACAGTGTTCTCCACAGCGACAACCTCGACAAGGGCCTACATCGGGATACTGAGACTTTAGTGGGCCAGCCACTTGTATTCGATAACAGCAAAGTAACCATCCCATAAAAGTATGGACTTACGGCTCAGAACGGTTCCTTTGAGGAACAAGTCCAACAACAACGTTTTCAAGTATGGTACAGCATTATATCTAAACAAACAGGTTGGCTTATAACAAACGACAAGCACAGGCTGCCAACCAAGCGGTTTTCGCGGCGTTCTGACATATCATGCCTAACTGCCTCGCACAAAGTGCAAGAGTCATGCTGGGCGTACTGAACGAAGCAGTGCAGTCTCAATCAATCACTATAGTCGTAGTAGCAACAAATAGCCAGTAAGGCCTTACAACATCACAGCACACAGAGCACAGCAAAACACACACCAACACCTGGTTGAAACCTCAAAAAGTCGTGTAGTTAACCACAACACCCTTCATCCAAGGCCCTTTGTCCACACAAGCAGAATCATTCATCGGGGAGAACAGCTACTGATGCACAGGGCTGAATACAACTAGAGCTGAAAACCCAAGCATAGTCAATACTAGCCAGCAGCATAAGAATGCTTGATTCAGTGATGCCAGCCACTCGCAAGAAGTAGACATGAGCAAGACTCGATAACGGGATATAGGTTAGATATGGTTCATTTCTTGGCATAACAGCGATGTTCAGCCATGCTGACCATGTTGACTTACTAACTTACTACAGGTAAGACGAAGTACTCCGCAAACTAAGACCAGGAATACGTCCTGCGCCAAACCCCAAACCCAGGTACAACCCTTTTATTGTTGACAGCCAAATCCCCAATCATCCCAATACCAAAAACAAGCAGAAAGTTAAACTCTCAGACTGTTCATCTACATCAAGAAATAAAATCCCATCGGCTGGGTACCGGCGCAGCAAGTACGGAAACTTGTCTTGAAGCCTAAACAACCCCTATACAAGAGTAGCACATACTGTAGGAGCCTAAACCATTGCCAATATTCTTCCTTCGGGTTCCTTGTAATGCTTACTTGGAGGTTCATGGGTAGTTACAGGTTCATAAGTCCCCTAATATGGGTTATAAGTATAGTTACCCTACGTATAACCTTGCTTATAACTACCCATGAACCTCCAAGTGTGCTACGAAAATACGTCAAAACCGTATTCTGACATGAGGTGCGCCCTTCTCGGAACAACCCCCCCTCCATCTGAAAGGAGCCCTTGAAGGGCTTTGGGCCTTAAAAGGAATCCTACTCCCGGAGAGCGCAATACCCCTTAATTGAGGAATATACCTTAAATGAAAATATTAAAGCCCCAACAATTTAAGCCATATTCCTTATTTAACTATACCCCCCTCAGAACCATAATGAAAATAATATAGCTAAAATTCTTTTGGGTGTTATATGAGCAAAAAATGACAAAATACTTCCTAAGGAGACTATAGTTAAGGGGCATTTTTTGCTCTCTGGGCTACCAGATATTTCCCAAACCCGCGAAAGTTCCCAGAGATCCGAATACCCCTAATTAAGGAATATACCTTAAATCATAATTAATCTCCAGGCCCCTACAATCTAAGGTATATTCCTTAACAATCTTCTGTATATTCCTTTTGTAAGGAGTATTGGGATCTCTGGGCTCCCAAATATTTCCCAAACCCGCGAAAGTTGTTGCCGCAAAGGCACTCCTCCTTTCCGTGACCAGGCCCGTAGGACGTCCAAGGGGCTCGCGTACTCGGGGTTCAAGGGGTACTCCTGGGTGGTTGTCAAAATTAGGGTCCCTTTTGGGGTACCCTAAAGAATAGGTGCCGTATGATAATAGGGACCCAAAAAGGGACAATAATTCTGGCAACCCCCCTCCTGGGAGCTGAACTCAAAGCCCTGTATAGTGAACCCCAGAAAATTGGAAGATGAATTTAGGATGATTCGAGCTGGGACTCCCTATACCTAGGATACCCAGTAACCTAAGAATAAAAAGGCCTCTCTTTTTGGTATTGGGTAACTTTATAAGGAACCTAGGGCTACAAAAAGGGAATAAGGGTACTACCTTTCATCCTACATGATGTTCCAAGTTTCTGGCTTCTACTGTGAAGGAGCCCTTAAAGCAAGCCCATATTATGGTTTTGAGGCTCTTTGAGGGTTCCTATCAAGGCTACTACAAGGTTTACTATAGGTGTTTAAGCTTTAGAGTTTTGGGGTTTACGGGTTTGGAGGGTTTAGGCTTCAGGCATAATTCTGGGAAGCATGTAAGGTTCCTTTAGGGGTTGTTTTACTGATATGTTAACCCACAAACGTATAAACTTCCATTACCGGCCCAAAAGGAAGCAAAGAAATACCCAGAGAACCCAATACCCCTTAACTAAGGAATATACCTTAAATTATAGTAGCATCCCTAATATGATTTAGGGTATATTCCTCAATTAAGGGGTATTGGGATCTCTGGGTTGGAGACAGCAGGTGTAGAGTCCTGGGCTTAGAGCGTTTTAGGGTCAGAGTTCTGGGTTTAGGGCGTTAATTCGGTATTTTGCGGTTCCTTATTGCAAGCATACTATACAGGGGCCCAGAACCATAGTCTAATTATTAAGGTATGGTATTCCAGAACCCAGCTCAAGGGTTCTGTGAGGGCTTTGGGGTTCAGCGTATTCTTCTCGGAGCTGCATCCTTTAGGGCTTAGGGCTTCTGGGGTTTCTAGGGTTCTAGGGGCTTTCCTTTAAAGAAATCTATAGTGGGTTTACAGGGTTCCTTTAAAGGGATCTACAGGGGTTTATAGAGCTCACGTTTAGGGGGTTGAAGTTGTAGGGCGAACTTGTTGAGGTTTAGGGCTTAGCTTAGTAATGCCTCGATCAGAGGATTTAGAGTGATTGGGTGGTTTGCGGTCATCGCACCTCCTGCAGCTCCGGGCTATCTCTTGTATTAGCATGTCCGAAGTGAACTGGCGAGTTTGTGCTTTGAGCTTTGCATCCTCTCCTGAACTTAGAACCCTAGCAAAAATTAAAATTTTACCTGTTTCTTAGGGATTATAATAACCAAAAATTGAAAAATTCTAAGTACCCCTAAGTCAAGGGCTTTTCCTTTGTCTGGGATGCAGGGCCCTAGCCCTGATAGCCAAACTCTTGTAATGAAATAGAATGGGGGTTTGGGCTCCTTTAAAGGGATCCCTAAAGGGTTCTATAAGGGGCCCATATGTTTTGAAACAGAGAAGCCCTAAAGCTGCACCCCGCTTGGGGGTCGGGGGACTTAGCAAGTAGTTAGTAAGTAGACTTATAAGTACCCTGAAAGGGACCCTAATTGGGGTTATGGTACTTGTAAGCCCCTAAAATAACCAGTTACTAAGTCCCCCCACCCTCCAAGTAGGGGCCGTAATAAGTAGAATAGGGTTTTGGGGCCCACTAATACCATAACTGTAATAAGGACCCCCCCCTCCCAAACTGGTATTGCTAATTGTTAAAGCACCGAAAGCATGAGCATTGTAAAACACTGCTTGAAGGACACTGGGGCCTAGCAAGTGTGGTTGTATGATATGTACCCTACTTGGATTTATACTTGATTTCAAACTGACGATATATACCCTATTTATAACACGAACTTTCAAATTCCCTATTGCAGATTTTAGAGGCAAGAGGTGGTAAGATCAGCGCCGAAATACTTGGAATGAGGTTTTGGGGGCTACAGTGAGGAACCTCAAGGAAGAATGTCCCTAACTATTTATCCTTTGATGACCAAGAGCTCTCAACAAAAAACGAGGGGACGAGTCTCCAACGCAGCCAAAAAGTGACGCAATGCCAGGCTCTCATCCGCAGTCCAGCCCGTACCATCGGTACCAGTTGTGAAATGAGCATCAATAGCCTTGGAGCACATGGAAATCTTCTCCTACTTCTTTCATGCACATGATGATCCGGTGAGCGCTTGTCTTTCTTTCTCTCCTTCAGAGGGCCCTTGTAAAAACCTCTAGGTTCCTGAGCAGCCAAACCAAAGAAGGGCTAAAGGCACCTACTCAGGAACCTAGACCTTCAGGGAACCGCTCCGTTTCTTTCAGTCCCGGCCTTCACCACGGTGCCCTCGAAGTGCGCCAGAGCCATCTCCCTGAGCCGCGCCGTCCCGAAGGGGTTCGAAGCCCCGAGGCCTTTCGGAACCTGGAAGCAGTCGAAGAACAGAGCGACTGGACCCAAGAGTAGCCTAGGAAATAAAAAGGGAGCCCTTTTTGGTTAAAAAGGGCGCATAAGGGAACCTGAACCCTTAAAGAAGGAATAAGGGCCTACTCTAGGTCCTAGCAGTCGCAGAATAGAGCGAGAGGGGTTACGCGTGCAATTTTCGTTTCAAAGCCGCCTGCTCTAGACTTGAGAAGCTTTGAAGCTTCTTTGTTGCATGATAGGAAGAGGGTTTAAGGCTCGGTTATGCTTAAAGAAGCTGTTCTAGAGCTGTCAGGGATTACATAGGTCAGGCTTCACGGTCTGAGGGCCACAGTCAAGCCTAGACCCTGAACCGACAAGCCTAGGCGCTTAATCAAGACAGATTCCTGTTTTGGTGGATGAGGGGAGTGGCATTTGAGCCTAAAGCGGCTCCCAGGGCTTTTGGGGCTTTGTCGGGTCTAGGGTGTAGAGCAGAAGCCAGAAAGTTGGAGCATCAGTGTCCTCATATGCAATTTAGGTAAATCATAGGGATTCCCAGCACAAATCATGCTGAATCCATGTTCCAGCATTTTGGGGTTCACTATACAGGGCTTTGAGTTCAGCTCCCAGGAGTACCCCTTGTTCCAGCGTTCTGGGGTTCACTGTAAATCTTTAGGGCTTCGGCTTGGGCAGCTGGGATTTTGGCATCCTGCTCTCGTCGCAACAATACGAAGCAAGGGCAACAGACTGATCCTTACTTGGGGGGTCAAGGGACTTAGTAAGTAGTTAGTAAGTAGACTTATAAGTACCCTAAAAGGGACCCTAATTGGGGTTATGGTACTTATAAGTCCCTAAAATAACCAGTTACTAAGTCCCCTGACCCTCCAAGTAGGTTCCCAGAGAGCCCAAGGGGGCCCATTAATTAGGGAATACACCTTAACTAATAGGGGCCTCCATATTATGATTTATGTTGCTTAGTTAAGGGGTGTTGGGATCTCTGGGCTACCGACATCATGGGCTACTGGGGTACATCATATATGGCTCGTAATTTACAGTTTAGGCAACAACTGAAGCCCTAGGGATCGTTTTCTGAGTACAAAAGGCTGTGATGGTGCAGACATAAGATCAATTCAAGCCGTCATACTACGACCAGCAAAGCCCAGAACAGCACCTACTACCCTGAGCCCGATATCCCTGAATCCTAAATCCCAAAGCCTGACCTGTAGCATCTAGGACCAGGTAGGTCGAGGACAGATGCTGGGCTTGCTAGCGATCTCGTCCGGGGTGCAGGGTATACCCGTCATGGGAGTTAGGATTAGGGGGACCCTTGGGGATATAGACCCTCTCAATAAGGCCCCTTTTAAGAGAGCCAGAAGTAGGGTTCAGAAGGGGTACCCTTTATGGGGTCCCCCTAATAATACTACCCACGTCAGACCCCTCACCAACATCCTTGTCTTGACAAAGCCCTTGGGTAGATACTTGTCGAAGCATTCATTCAGAACACCTCTTATGGAACACCCCTGTATTTTCTTGTGGTACTTTCCTTCTAGTCTGCTATGTTTTATATAGTATATGATTACCTTCGACCCAAGCAGCAGAGCCGGGAAGGAGGCCCGGACAGGCAGTCTCAGGGAGGACGCAGTCCCCATTCTCCTCGAAAAGCTTGACCATGGCCTCTTGCCGGACAACACAATCGGAGCCCAGACCCTTGGTAGGTACTGCTATACGGGGGTTTCCGAGAATTAGGGGTACCTTATTGTGGTCCTTATGTCCCCCCATTTTCGGAAACTCCCATATAGGACCCTTGGTAAGTACCCAGAGAGCCCAAGAGCCCCGTAATTAAGGGATATACCTTAAATTATAGGGGCCCTAATACTATGGCTTAAGGTATATGCTTTAATTAATTAAGGGGTATTGGGATCTCTGGGTAATACTATATAGGGAGCCCAAGTTTAGGGGACCCTTCGAAACCCTACTTCTTGCTCTCTTACAAGGGACCTTATTGAGAGCTCCAAGGTCCCCCTAGTCCTAACTCCTAACCCTAGCAAGCCCTGCAGCAAACCCTGTACCCCCGAACCTAAATCCTATGCCCACCTCCAAAAATAGAGCCAGCTTTGGTGTGTTCTAACTATGACGAACTGGTCGTCTGCTGGTACGTAGGCCCCGAAACCGACAGCACAAGACTTTACAAGCTCAATAGAAGCGGCGCCAAATCATGTACCAACACAAGGATACCCAACGCCTATTGAAAACCCTGCAAATCCTGGAGTCGCTTAAACAAGCCTACCCTACACCGAAACCGTAAACCCTACATGAACCCGAAACCGTAAATACACCCTAATTTGCAAAGCCTAAACGCTAAAGAAACCCTAAAGCCTAAACCCTTACGTAACCTCAACGCCCTTCCCCCCGCAACCCTCACCCCCCCGGCCTGGGAATCCAGCAGCGCTCGAAGCGCCTCGGCATCCAAAGCTGATCCTCTCTTCTCCTCGGAGACAAAAGACAGGGCCGGTTTAGGGTCTTGGGTTTTTAGGGTTTAGGGTTTCCTAAACCCTAAACCCCGGCTGAAGGCTCGGGGGGACCAGGGATCCGGAATTCTCGGGTTTAGGAGTTGGGGGTTTAGGATATTTGGGTTTGGGTGTTGAGGTCCTTTAAAGCTTCCTTGGGCTAGGGTCCGGGATGCTTCGTTCTTCGCTGATGATTTGAGGTTTAGGGTTTAGGGCTTAGGGTTCAGGGTTTAGGGTTTGGGGTTCAGGGTTGCTCTCCCGAAACAGACAATGAATGGATCCTCAATCGTAGATCTCGTTGTACAAAGACGCACCTTAGGCCTTATCACGCTAAGGAAGCAATCGGCGCACGATAGGACAAAGTATCAGTACTATGCATGTTAAGGCTTGGAGGTTCAGTGCCGGAGGGCTGCAGAATCTTTACCCTAAGGCTCAAAACAGCCCAAAAGCCTCATATAGTATGGTCTTTGGGGCCAAAAGCCTTAACATATGAGTCCTTAGAGCCTTAGGTATCTTAGTTTAGGGTTTCGGGATCTTTTTTGGAAGCTCTGAGCCTTGCGAAGGTTGCTGTGAAGGAGTATAGCAAGAACCCAATAGAAGCCCTCAGAGGCAAAATCCTCACCGCAAGCCATTCTCCAACTCACCCGCAAAGACGGGACTCCTAATTTGAAAAGATCCGCGTCACTGCAAGCTTGCAAGGCCCCTAGTAGACAACTCATTCAAACACTTCTAAACAAAGCTAAAGACAAAACCCAAGAAGACATCGTAAAGTCCTTCTTCTTAGAACGAGCCCAGCAACCTGACTACTATCCGAAACCTAAGTACGTACCCAATTCTGGGCTCCTTTGGGCCCTTTGGGACTCAGTTGGAATTTCGGTCCATTACCAAGTTCTGACAGCGGAGGCTCTATCGCTGCAGCGAGCTTCGGAAACTTCGCAGCCGCCATGTTTGGGAGATAGATCTCATTTAGGGGCCTCAATAACTATAATAGGGCTTTGGGCCCCTGTATATACTTGTAATACGGAGCCCTAAGGAATAATGTTTGCAATTATTTCGGCTTCTATAGTACGTCTCGGGCAGCAGAAGCATCACCCAACGAAGAGATGCTGCGGGTGTGTCCGGGCGTGCATCTGCAAGGATACACATGCCTGTATTCCTGTCGCTTCTGCATGTATGTAGTCCTCTGAGTACTTATGTTCGAATGCATGCAGCCCCCGCTATCACTATCTGTCTCGACATGTGGGATAGGTGGTGTGCAGGAAAACACGTATGTATGTATATCTATCTGTCTGTATATGTATATATACCTTCTACATATACATATGTTTGTATACTTATATATATACACTACTTATATGAAAAAAGATGTCTGTGTAGATATATGTGTACATATATGGGCAACATAAATGTGTACATTGCTACAGTCTTGCTGAGCCGAGCTTTCTGTTCTTTTGCTCACTCCCTCTTTCTCGCTCTTCGTGTTTTTCTCTTTCTCAGAAGCACATGCTAGCAGCTGAGGCTTAATGTGCGGGTCTGTTAAGTTCGTAGTACTTGTTCTGTAGGGTGCCTTGTTCTGCAGGGTTCCCTTATAGAACTATACCATATACCTGCCAAGCTAGCTGCTCCGAGGTAGCGAAGTTCCGTGACCGCCCGCCTCCTTGCGCTGGACACCAGGCCTGCATCTAATGCAGAAGATCGTAACCATATTCGGGACTATCATAAGGGGACAGTATTCGCAACTTTTGCGACCCCACGATGTTTTCACAGTTCAGGGTGATGTTTTGACTACAGCTATAGCAAGCTCCATGATCATGATATCAGTCTTACATAGTTCCGCAGACTTTTGACGTCATAGGTTATGCAGGATGCCCACGAGCTCCAGTTTCAGAGAAGAAGATGGTCGGAGCTGCTTAGCCGGCACAAGCCCTACTATAGGGGCCTGAATTATTACCTATACTATTTTGGAGGTTCCTGACTATGGTTTTAGCAAAAAGGAACCCAAAACCTTTTCAAATTTTTAAGGCCCTACTTTAAACCCCAAAACCCCAAACAGGAATCGCTTGCTAGAAAGTCCCGAAACCCTCAACTCTCAATCCGACATTCGCTCAACAGCGGCCACTCCTGGTTCATTGTCTAGGGCTTCAGGGTTCCAGTATAGTCTTTATACTACTATTACTACTACTACTACTACTACTACTACTACTACTACTACTGCTGCTGCTTCTATAACTATACTGCTGTAAGTCTTCCGCCTCCCCAACCCCGGGGTGGGATCTGAGACACAGACGTCCAATGAGCCTGTTTCCCTCGCAAAATCTACGGGCCTTGATGTTCAGAACAGGCGTTGGGGGGTATATTGAAACAGATAGCGTGGAAACTGCAAAATCCTGCCTCAGTATAGAAAGAAAAAAGTCCTTGGCACCTGGGAGCCTTAGATTATGTCAGTCCCCTTATCATATTACAACCTCTTGGGTTATCACGTAAGAGCCCGAAGATTATCAAAAAGGTCCTTGACCAGAACAAAAATCATTCAAGGACCCTCGCCCACATTCGAAATCCTCATGTAACCATCACCTGAACCATGAACTAAAGTTTAAACTCCCCCCTAAACTCTAAACCCTAAACAAACTAAAGTTTAAACTCCCCTTAACTCTGAACCCTAAACAAGACTGTAAGTCTAAGCGCAAGCAACTTCAACACCACGACCTTCCCAGCCTCGATTCCTTTGCGAAGTTGACATTGCCAGTCCTGGCAGTAAGAACTTCAGTCTAAATTTAGGGGCCTTAGTAATTAGAACAGAGTTTTGGGGCCCATTATATTATAACCATAGTAAGGAACCCCCAACACAGTATTGGTACTTATTTAGGCCCCTATATTAGGAACTAGGGTTTCGGGCTCTCGGGGTGTAGGGGTTTCTGGCAGTGGTAACTGCTGTTTGTGTCTGTGGGGGTAAACTCCGCGATCATCGGGCAGCTGGACTTTCGACAAAACAAAATTGGGGGGTCGGGGGACTTAGTAACTAGGTAGTAAGTAGACTAATACGTACCCTAAAAGGGACCCTATTGGGGTTATGGTACTTATAAGTCCCTTAAAAACCAGTTACTAAGTCCCCCGACCCCCCAAGTACTTTATCCAGGAGCAGGTGGGCGAGCAAGGCGCTTGAAGTAAAAAGTGGTGACTGATCTATATCCATAAGCATCGCTACATCAGTTTATTCCCTAGGCCCCATAGTAGTTCCTGTTTGGCATGATCTTATAGAACTCTATATACGAATTCTAAAAAAGGAACTACTTTGGGGCCTTGGGGTATTCCCTAGGCCATAAGCCCCAACTCCACAAGACCGTATTGAATTCGGCCAGAGGCCGTGAAACCTAAACTCCGCGACCTGAGGATGCCACGCCGGTGAACTGGGCTTTCATTTTAGGCGCAGAAGGATTTTAGGCTTTAGGGCTTTAGGGTACTGCATGCAAGGCAGGTGACGGTTTCTGCAAGCAACGATTTGAGTGGCCTCAAGAGCGTTTCTCGGCACCTTCTGTACTCCAACTCGATAACCTGCGACGCAAGGTCCTTTTGCCACACCTCACCGCACCGGTGAGTGCACACGATCCCACAAGTTAGTCTCCTGCGGATCCAGTACCTCATGCCTTCCTCTTCACTACCACACTCCGGATCCCACATGTGGGTATCCATTTAGGGTTCACACAAACGTGCCCTTACAGTGTTCCCTTGAAGCGGCACTTTCACGAGTCCGTATGGGGGTATGCAAGAATGGGGCCTGACGAAAGGCTTCCGATCCGTTTCGCGCGGCAATCGATTACAGGTGCTTTCATAAGTTGAAAAGGCTGTTGGTGAACGTTATAGTATCCGTACAAAGACAGTGTAAGGGAACACGATGATTGCCGCGAACGAACATGATAGCAAAGCGTTAAAGTCTACACCCTGATAAACCCTGTTGGGCCCTAAAAAAATTCCCGATAAGGCCACCGTAGGAGCACGAATAACTACCAACATTCTTCCTTTTACAATGCCCAAAACTTGTTCAAAAGGTCAAAGCTACTACATTCCCTCAGTTTTCCAAAGCTCCCGCATTTGGGGATACCTACCTAAGCCCGATAGGCCCTAATTCAAAACCCTAAACCCTGAACCCCTAAGCCCTAAAAGCTCTAAACCCTAAAAGCCCTACTTGGAGGGTCGGGGGATTTAGTAACTGGTTATTTTAGGGACTTATAAGTACCATAACCCGTATTAGGGTCCCTCTTAGGGTACTTATAAGTCTACTTACTAACTACTTACTAAGTCCCCCGACCCTCCAAGTAAGCCCCTAGACCGCAAAAGCTGTGCTGCGCTCTCCTGGACAGGAGTTGCTCTACGAGGCATTGAGCCGCCAGGACCTGGAATAAAAGGGACTCGTTTTGTAATGATTGGAGAAAGGGGTCAGGGTTTAGGGTGAAACGGACCCTTTTGAAATGATTATAGAAAGGCGGGGTTTGCCGTCAGGTCAAATAAGCCTGCAAAACGTGTCGAAGATTAATGAGACTGCTACAAGGTCCTTGTAGCTCTCTTTTTGTTTTTCTCTCTGTCTCTCTACCCCTTCCGGGTCTAAGGTTTGGATCTCGCCAGAGCGCTGTACAGTCTTAGAGATTTTAGGGTCCAGGGTCGAGGATTCAGGGCTTAGGGTACCAACAAGGGCTTTGAGTGTGGGTGCATTTGGCTTGGGAGCATGTGGGTGCAGATACAACCTTTTCACACTCTATAAAACTCTGAACAGAAGTGCGTTAGTGACTAGAGTAGGGTTGTGGGATACGACTACTATAGCTGCATGCCGGAACCCTCACGAATAGCCAATAGCATTCGTAAACAATACGGCCCCTCTCGCAGTCCTGTGGCTATAAACTCCTACAAGCCCGAAACCCTAATCCTGTAAGTTGATTACAAGGCCTATGATAATTATGCCTTGTGGTTCCTTGTTCTTCCTAAACTGTACATACATAATATATATATATATATATATATGTATATATATATATGTATAGGCAAGTAGCTTCCAAGCCCCAGTGTAGTTACTTGCTTGTTAAGACCCTGGTAGCAGGGGATCACGGGATTGGAGTTTTAGATGGTTTTAGGGCCTATTCAGAGGTTCATGGTACTTAGTAACTAGGGTTATAAATAAGGTAACTATACTTATAATCGGTTATATCCCCCGTTAAGGTACTTATAACTGTGTTTAATAAGTCCCATGAACCTCCAAGTAGGGTCCATGAAGTCCCTGATGCCACAATCTGACGGGAAACTCCTCCAACCCCTACTTTACAATTATGCTGAAAAATCTACCCAAACCCCTTATACGATAGTTGCAGTATTACACTATGATTGCACTGTAACTGCGTTGTAACCACATCATGAATACACTGTACTTATTACGGTAAACTGCACTATAAAGACAACAATAATACAACACTATCTTTTCTGCAATTACGCTACGCATAATTGCTGTGACTGCACTATGATTAAGTTAATTACACCATAGTTACTGCAAGTACAGCTATACTACCACTACGCTAACTACACATAACTACTATATCTACACACTATTTGCAACACTTATTAGAACTACTCCTGTAATTCTCAGCCAAAGCCCTGTCACTCTCGCCCCTTACGTTCTAGTATCCTCAGTAGCGTCTTCATAGCCCGGGTACCCTTCTTGCTAATATTTCAGCTTCATAAGGAGACCCCAAACTAAAACAGGGGCGGTACTACTCTGGAGAACTTTTGAGTTATAGTAGATGATTTGAGCCCCGCAAAACTTAAACGTTACATACTCAGCCTTTAGGCATTGAACCAAGCCGTCCTACACCCCAAGATCCTCAAACTCTTATAGATCCCTCGAAAGGAACCCTCATAGTACACTTGAAAACCCTATCCCCTTCTTAAGCCCTAAAACCTTATAGAACCCTCAAAGGAAGCCTAAACTATGGTAACTTAATCTAAATCCCCTTTCTAGACCCAAGAGTAGCGAAGGAATAAAAAGGGTGCCCTTTTTGGTTTAAAAGGGGCTTATAAGGGAACCTGAATCCTTAAAAAAAGGAAATAAGGGCCTACTGTAGGTCCTGGCATTACCAAGAACCTTAAAGGAACCCTTATCGTACCCTTTTAAACCCCTATCCCCTTCTTAAGCCCTAGACCCGTATAGAACCCTTAAAGGAACCTTAAATTGCGGCAGCTTAAACTATATGAAACCCTTAACAAGAACACGTCTCCTAAACCTCAAGCCCTAAACCTTGATAGAACCCTCAAGAAAACTCTAAATTACGGCAACGTTACTTGTATAAATCCCCTTAGCAAGAACCCGGTCTGTGACCCCGCGCCCGATCTTCTGCTGGCCGGCCGAGCTCCTCTGCGCTGAGGGCTCCCAGCCTTTTCGATCTTCTTGGGTTCTCTGTAAGGGATCTATAGGGGATCTATAGGGTTTAGAGTTTAAGGGATGCTAATAGCCCTTAAACAAGGAATATACCTTCAATCACAGGGGGCTTATGTAACATAGTATGATTTAAGGTAATTATCTTCCTTAATCAAAGGGTATTGGGATCTCTGGGGAAATGATTTACGACATCAACAAAAACCAAACCAAACCGTATCCCTACCACCAAAACCATGTCCAAAAAGGTCTAGGGGCTTAAAGCGTCGGGTTTCGGGCCTGAGGATTTACATACGGCTTAGGGTTCGGGGTCTAAAGTAACGTTTAAGGCCTGAGGGCATGAAGCTTCTTGAAAGCTAAAATGGTGGATCTTTGGGTTTGGCCCAAAGGCTCCATGTACCTTTATAGTAGATACTTAAGCCCCAAAGCAGTCCCTACATAGGTACTTCAAGGCCTAAGTATATACTATATGGGTACATGGAGCCTTAGGGTAGGGTATGGGTTTTAACGCTTTGTGACGGCAGGGGATTTTGGGGTTTAGGGTTGTAGGGTTTTGGGCTTAGGGTCTGGGTTGCTGTTTATCAAACCATTTTAAATCCGGAGTGCTTGCTTTTACAGCCTTTTGGGGTCTGGTTTACTGCTGCATTTTTCGGGGTTAGCTGAAACCTATGATTCAAAAAGGTTAGGATTCCTTCCAATAAATACCTGAATATATTACTTCAGCAAGGTTTTCTTCTTGAGCGGACCTTTTCAGGGTCTAAAAAGGAGTTTCCGAAAATAGAGGACCCGAGTATAGTACTCTGAAATAGTTGGATCCTTGTTATCAAGACCCCATAATAAGGTACCCCTAATTTTCGAAAACTCCCAAATGGGGTTGCAGGCTGGGTGGCGGGTTTCAGGGTTTGGGGAAGTCGTGGCCAGCAAAGATTCTCATACAGGTTATCAAAGGGCATTGGCGGGTTTAGGGAATAGCGGTCCTTTAAGGGTTGCTACAAGGGATCTGCATAAGGGTAATATAATATAGGGGCCTTAATAATTAGAATAGGGTTTTCACCGTTGTCAAGAGCGTTTAAATCGGGTTCAGGGTCGTTTAGGCTTTGATTGGGGCTTAGGGTTCAGGGCTGGGGATTTAGATTAGGCTCTTCGGGCCATCGGGTGTTTGATTCAGACACACTGTTCGGTCTCATTAGGTTGACAGGCTTCTATCGCCTAAATTCGGGCCTTGTTGCAAGTGGGCTTTAATCGAAGGGCTTTCAGGAACAAACCAGCGTGATATAGGGGCGTAAATAAATACCAATACCAGTGTGGGGGTTCCTAATTATGGTTATAGTATAATATACCCCAAAACCCTATTCCAATTATTATAAGGCTCCTACAGTATCTTCTAGAATTGAATTTAAGTGTCGAGTGCCATAGTGGCTTCTGTTCTAGTCAACTATCTTCGGTACTGTGTTTTGCAGGTTTCTGCGAAGACAAACTAAGGGTAAGGTTTCAGTGAAACAAGTTGGCTCTTATGGGCTGTCTGAGACTCAAGTGTGATGTGCAGCAGAAGTACATGTTTGCAAGTTCGCGGCAACTCCAGTATCACTTGATTTAGGCAGCTTTTCAAGGAACGCCGGTTTCTATTAGTTCCTCTATGTGTCTGTCAGGGACGTGCAGACTCTGGAGGATTAAAACCGCCAACTAAGCCAGCGAATTGGGCAGGATCAGAGGACGTGGCAACGTACCCGGTAGCCTTTAGGCAGGACTACAGTGCCTAAGCGCGGATATGCTGCTGATAGCTCGAATATACAACCTCCTTGTTACCTTTTGTTTGGTGCTTTTTTGGCAGCTTTTCGGGTCCTCTTTTTAGGTTTCAGTACTGTGTAATATCGGGGGACCCAAAACGGAACTACCCATCCACCTGAATATGTGATTTGAGAGTACGGCGGTCACCACCTTCCTCATTCTGCTGACTACTCGCGCTTCCGACTGCAGAAATGAACAACCAGTTCGACAAGATCGTTGCACAGTAGCTGGCCAAGCTCGGAGAGCATAAACAGTCTCAATACCTCTTAACTTGTGGGGATGTGTATTATGATCTCATGACTGAAGGTATATCAACAAAGCCACGGGTTGAATAAGTGCCCTGAGTCAGACATGTCAATATGCCAACTGAGACTCAAGCAGGGAATCGAGGAGTTGCTTGGCCCGCACCTCCACAAGAGCTTGAGTGGGAAGTTGCCAGTATCCAGTACAAGATAAAGCTGTATACTTGTACTGAGCAACAACGCACAGTGTGGGCAATATTCCATACTAGGTCATCAGAGTTTCAGAAGCCTCGAGGAGGAGTATTCGAGAACTGAGGTAACTGTTGATCTGGCTAAAAATCTGTTGAACGAAGTGGACCCGAGGAAGGATCCGGGTGCGGTTCATGTGTAATTGCAGATGGAGTGCATTTTCAATACCTCGCCTGTAGTCGTAGTAGTAGTAGTAGCAGTAGTAGTAGTAGTAGTAGTAGTAGTAGTAGTAGTAGTAGTAGTAGTAGTAGTAGTAGTAGTAGTGCAGTAGCAGCAGCAGTAGAGTAGCAGCAGTAGCAGTAGCAGTAGCAGCAGCTTCCAAGCTCTAGGCGCGAAGCCCAGTACCCATAAACCTTCACGCAATGGGCAGCTACATCCTCAATTTCTTGGGCTGCCTCCATGGGGACTACTGCCGGGGATTGATAGGGACTATTATCGGGATCGATTCCCCCTTCCCTGCTGAGAACCAGAAAGAATAATGAATGCGTCTTGTTTTGTCCGGAGCCTGGGATCAGTAGTGTCATAGTAAGGTCCCCTAAGGAATTATTTGGGTCCTTCGTCAGGGCCAAGAAACCTTAAGAAGCGCTTACGGAAAATGTTGGCTGTGTTAAATCTCGGACGTGAAGTGAGGGTGCAAGCATGGCGTTCTTCTGCATGGAATTTCATTATAGGCCCTGCTGGAGAATCCAGGTCCTAAACCCTAACCCTATAAACCCTACACCCTAAATCGTTCATAATCAGGATCACGCAGAGGGACTCTTGAACCAACGAAACCCCAAACAGCGAATTCGACAACTTCCCCCAGGTGCTTAGTAGGGAATGGGGAAATGCATCCCTACAGTAGTCCCCATATAAACCCCAACAATAATCCCCATAATCCATTCCCCCATTCCCCACAAAGAAACAGACAGAATTTTGGTAAACCGCTTGGCCAGGTCAGAGCGGGAATTCTCTGTGAAAGCAACGCAGAGACTCCATTTAATTCAGGAATGTACTTTATTAAATTATAGTAGGGGTCCCTGACATGATTTAAGGTATATTCCTTAATTAACGGATAATCGAGTCTCTGGGAATAGCAAAGTAGTCCAGCGGTGGACGGACCACGAGACGACGGAACAGACAACTGCAAAAGCACTGTACAGACGACAGCGCAGAGGCCATTCATGGCTGCAGAGTGATACAGGTACATTTGGTCTGGTCATATTCAATCACCAGGGCTCCACTACCCAGACACGAATTCAGGAAACACCTTAAATCCTAGTAGGGTTCCTAATTCCTGAACTAAGAAAATTTCGTTTCTCTAGGTAGGCTTTCCGTAGACACTTCGCCAGCCCGGCGCATTTCTGAAACCTGAACCCCCTAAAACCTAAAGCCCGAAATCCCAACACTCGATGTCCTCCCTAAACCCTACCCTGAGGGTCCAAGTACCTAATAATCATATGCTCTCCCAAATAGTAACCTACATAACTACGATCCTAAAACCGAATACCCGATTACTGGGTCCTTTGGACCCTAGGGGCTAGGCCGTAAACCCTCAACCCCTAGCCCCTAAACTGACTTACAAAAATGCCAAACAAGACCCAGTAGGTCCTCAAATGAAAAAGCAATCTTCCGGTGTATCCTCAAAGGCATCCTGCGGCTGTTGGCCGCCTAAAGCCTTGTTCATGGTTGGGATAGGATGAAACCGTTTAGGGTTTAGGGTTTAATCTTGATTCTTATTCCTTTTTGGGTTTATAAAGTACCATAAAACTGTAAAATGTTACCCGACTATGGCAAGGAAGCCTCTACCAAGGGCGCCGGTGCTCCAAGAGCCTTGCGAAGAAATTCACAGTTTAGGGTTTGGGTTTAGGTCTCAGGCTTTTCGGTTTGAGGGTCTTGGGGTTTAGGGACTTCTCAAGTAACATCCCCCACTAAAACCAAACGGCTGAGCCTTCACAATACTACGGCTACAAGTGCTTTGAGCTACCTATCGAAAAATAGGATAAACCCTTATCAACCCCAAAAGTTGGGCATTACCCTAAACTCCTCATCCCCTAAACCCCTGAACCCTGAACTGTACACCCCTGGGCATTACCCTAAACCCTTGCCCCCTAAACCCCTGAACCCTGAACTGCACACTCCTACAGTAGAAGCCAGAAAGTTGGAACATCATTATCCTCATGCCCTTATGGTAAAGTATAAGGGATCCTAGCACTTATCCTCCTAAAGCCATGTTCCAACTTTCTGGCTTCTACTATAAACCCTAAACCGTCTCTCAGCAGCCTGAGCAAGATCCAGCGGGGATTTCCTGGGTTCTGACTTAAGTTGCCATAATGAGAAGGAAACTCTCTTCTTTAACAACCGGGCCCCAAAAAGTTCAAACTTTCCAAGATAGAGCCAATATATAAGGCCAAAACGTTTCAAAGTTCCCCCGTTCACTATCGACAGAAACCATATACTGTGTAATATAGATCCCAATTAGCGTTCCTTAAACCCTAAACCGTCATAGGAACCTTCAAACGAACCCTATTATGGTAAACACTAAACCCCAAACCCTAAACCCCAAACGCTAAACCCCAAACCCTAAACCCCAAACCCTGATTGCTTAAAATGAGAGCCCAGCTTCTTGCGAGCGTTTTGCAGATCCAGGGAGGCTTTGGCCGAGAGAAGGAGAAAGGCACTCTCGAAGTTCCGGGTCAGGATGGCAAACCTTAGGGTTAAGGGTTTTAGGCATCTGGGGTTTAGAGTTTAGGGTTGGGGTTAGGGGGGAAGGGGGTCACAGTCAATCCCCCTCCCCCTGCGGGTCCCTATGACTTAGGGTTTAGGGTTTTGGTGGGCTCCTAAAGGGATCCATAGGCTTTTTCATGTGTAGTGACTGATCTATAGGGTTTAGGGTGTAGGGTCTACTTGGAGGTTCATGGGACTTAGTACGTACAGTTATAAGTACCTTAACTGGGGATACAACCAATTATAAGTATAGTTACCTTGTTTGTAACCCTCGTTACTAAGTACCATGAACCTCTAAGTAAGGAGGGGTTAGGGGGGGAAGGGGGTTGGTGGCTTTATACCTATAATAAGGACGTGCTAAGGCGTGTTTAAGGAAGTACAGTCACTTACCCCCCTCCCCCTACCCCCCTAAGGGTCCCTATGACGTAGGATTACAACAACAATAGTAACAACACAAACCAGAACAAAGGTTCGATTGCAAACCTTACGGTTTAGGGTTTAAGTCTTTGGGGTTTAGGGTTTGATGGCAAACCTTAAATGGGTTTGGGCTTTAGGGTTTTGAGGTTTAAGGTTGAAGTTGGGGCTGGCATAGACGAAATGTGTTAATTGCAGAGCCTGGCTGTGAGGGTCTAATCTACTATACTTGTAATGGGGACTATAAGGGGACGCTCTTTTCACTTACTCCGACCCCGGGTTAACCAAATGAAGCACCTCATAAGAACCTACAGAACAGAAGGTTGGTCATTAGCCCAGATTTCAAGGCTGTAAGACGGCGAACTGAGACACATCAAGGGCCTCGCCCCAAATCCAAGACAGCCCGAAACCTGAAACCGACTGAGAAGCATCAAGGGCGTCGCCCATTTGTGATGAAATGCCAGCAGGGTCCAGCTTGATGGGCTTAATTGGTGCCTAGGCTAGTCTCTAGGAGCCTTCATTGCTTTAACAGGGATCCTTTAGGGATTCCTACGATTTCCTGCATTACCGGTAATAAGGAATATACCAATTATTCCCATAGTCTAGGGTCATAAAGGTAATGCAGGGTTTGTATCCTCAACCGTATGAAGGGTGGTTTCAGGGTTTCGATAGGTTGCTATTCAGGCTTAGAAGGAGCCGTAAGAGCGAGAGCATGGTCCTTTGGGTATCTTGTACTTGGGGGGTCGGGGGACTTAGTAAGTAGCTAGTAAGTAGACTTATAAGTATCCTAAAAGGGACCCTAATTGGGGTTATGGTACTTATAAGTCCCTAAAATAACCAGTTACTAAGTCCCCCGACCCTCCAAGTAGTATACTAAGAATAAGGAACTGCGTAGTAATGGTATGATATACGAAGAAAACAGAAGGGTATCTTGTAGTATACTAAGAATAAGGAACTGCGTAGTGATGGTATGATATACTAAGAAAACAGAACCCCATAGTAATGTTGCTTGGTTACGGGGTTTGCGGTTCGGTTTTCCTTTTAACCCGGCCCGTCCGCATCCTTACGGCCATGGGTCTGTGGTTTGGGGCTCAGGTTTTGGAGTTTGAGAGTTTGTGTTTTGAACAACACTAAACCCTAAACTCCTGTAGAAACTTAAGGTTAACCTTTGGGATCATAGTGCCCCGAGAAGGTTAAATGTCGCCTGCCCTACTACGAAGCTTGTATTGGTGTGAGTCTTCAGTGCAGTGCGAACTGCAGACGCAGGCACACTGGGAGGCTCTGGCAGGTCACGTGTGGTATTATGGTTACCCCATAAATCGGGCTGTCATCCTTGTAAGTGTAGTGCAGTCAGAACCTAAATGCGCATTACATCGATCCGGCAAGCACTGTATTCAGACAACCTACGGAGCAAGGGAAAGGCTCCAAGAGTTCCTGAAATCTATAATCTATACTGAACTTAGAACCCTAGCAAAATCATAGTTTTAGCTGTTTTCTTAGGGATCATAGTAACCAAAAATTAGAAAGTGATTTCTAAGTACCCCTAAATTAAATGCCGGGCTTCCGGGCACTTGCCAGGTTTAGCATCACCCACCAAGCCGGTTCTTGGATCTGAATGTGGAAGGGCTCATTCAAGTCCTGGGATGCCCAGTAAACCTAGAAAAAAAGGGCTCCCGTTTTGGTATTGGGTTTAGGGTTTAGGGTTTAGGGTTTGGTATTGGGTTAACTTTATAAGTATCCTAGGACTACGAAAAGGGAATAAAGGTACTGCTGGGCATCCTGGAGTCCGCTTTCGCTGTTATCAAGAAGCGCAGCGGTGCTGCGTAGGCACCCCAGAACAGAAGTGCCCAGTGCAAGCCGAATCGCAAACTTGTCGTGGGCGACTGAGCCAGGATCTCTGCCATCGCGTCCACTGCTCCGTTTGAACACGCAACTTGAAAGACGCTCATGCCGACAATGTTTCGTCGTTGAAGATCTGCACGTGCCTGGCACAGAAGGCGCAGGCCAGTGGCATTGTTTGCCTTACTTCTTGATAAGCTCAAGGAAATAACAGCCTGAACATTCGGAAGACAACTAAAATGTCGAACGAACCCTAAACCCTGATCCCCTAAACCCCAAAACCCTAAACTCTAAAATCTTAAGACTTATACAAATCAATTTTTTGCAAAGCAAAGTTGCGAGGCTCGCCCAATGCGCAGCAGTAGCCTGAATCCTGTCTGTACTCGCAAGCGAGGCACGAGCTTGCAAGAGTACCTCCATGACCTCTTAGGGTTTAGGGTTCAGGGTTTCGAGTTTCGGGTTCAGGGTTTTCGGGTTTAGGGTTCAGAGTACCTCCATGACCCTCTTGGGGCTTCGGAGGGTTTAGGGTTCAGGGTTTAGGGGTTTCGGGTTTTCGGGTTTAAGGTTTAGAGTACCTCCATGACCCTCTTAGAGCTTGTGAGGGTTTAGGGTTCAGGGTTTAGGCTTCGGGTTTAGGGTGTAGAGTTCCCTTCATGACCTCGCAGTCGGCTCGGGGAAGCGTCTGTACAGGGGGTTTCGTCGAAGAGGTTCGGGGATGTTTAGCTACGACGTATCAGTTGCTGCCTCTTCTGTGTCATTGCTTCTTTAACTCGTAGCTAAAGCCTAGCTTAAGCACAAGGGTCCTACTGGCGAGAATAAGGTTTCGAGGCATACCATAAAATCCTCACATTGGGATTGTCAGGGGGTATTGTTGCAGCAAGATGATGTAGGAACCCGATTAAGAAACCCTGGCCCCGTAATCCCAAAATAATAAGGTTCATATCAGGAACGTTAATAACAAAGTCCCAAGGTTTCTTAGTCAGGTTCCTACACGAGTATAGTACCCTTAGTATAGATCCCTTATAGTAACCCTTACCCAGACCCCCGGGAGGATCCAAAAAGTAGATCCCTTAATGGCGGTTCCAGAAAAGTACCCTTAGTAGTATAGGGCCCCAAATTAGGGGATCTACTTTCTAGATCCTCCCGGGGGTCTGGGTATAGACCCCCTTTTAAGGAGCCCTGATAAAGACCCCAAATCTCTTAACAGGGGCCTCTGTGTTGTGGAATCGGGCCGCGATGGAAAGGGCGCCCACTTGCGCTGGAAAAAGAGATCCCTCCGACCGTCTGATCCGATCATTTGGATTTGCCTTTCAGGGGCTTTAGGTTTTAGGGTGTAGGGGGTTGGGGGTTTAGGGTTTAGGGGGTTGGTGGTTTAGGGGGTTGGTGGTTTAGGGTTTAGGGTGTTTAAGGTTTTTGGTGAAGTGTCTAGAGTTTGTACTAGAAGTTGGCGGCCAACAATCAAATTGCATGCAGAGGTTGGTAACCTCTGCTGTGCTAAAGAGCTTAGGTCCTGGGTGTAGGGCTTTTTTGGCACTTAAATTTCTAGGTATGACAACCTACTCACGGGGTGTGGGCAGTACCCTAACCCAACACCCCAAAACTTCTAAACCCTACATGGCGTACCCTAATTCCAAAACTCCTAAACTCCTAAACCCTACAGATCCCTAAAAGGAACCCTACAGATCCCTTAAAGGAAACCTAAACCCTAAACCCTAGGCCCTAAGCCCCAAACTCCTGAACTCCTAAACCCTATACATGAAGGCTTCCAAAAATATGGGACCCTAATATAGTACCCTAAATAGTAGGATCCTTATTATAAGGACCCCCAAAATAAGGTACCCCTAATTTTTCGGAAGCTCCCAAACCCTAAACCCTATAGATCCCTTATAGGATCCCTTTAAGGGAACCCTGAAAGGATCCCTTTAAAGGTACCCCTAATTTTCCGAAGCTCCCAAGTATAGCTATTATATATACCCATTATATAGCCCATTATAGGGTATGGGTCCCCATTAAGGGTCCCTCCTTGTCCCCTTTGATACATGGACATGGAGGCCTTTTGGGCCAGAAGGGCGCGGACGAGGAAGGGGCTCCCGTTCATGGCCGCAAAGCACAGGGGGGACCAACCCGATCCTGGTTTAGGGTTCTGGCGTTTAGGTTTAGGGTTTATCAGGCCCCAGTACCCTATAGATCCCTTCTAGTATCCCTTTTAAGGATCCCTTTAAAAGAGCCCTAGGTATTCAGGCCCCTACATCACCGACTTGGGGTTTGGCTACTTGGGGGGTCGGGGGACTTAGTAAGTAGTTAGTAGGTAGACTGCTACTTTTAAGTCCTTAACGTAACTAGTTACTAAGTCCCCGAACCCTCCAAGTAACACCCTAAACCCTAGTGTAGGAACCTGATCAAGAAACCTTGGGCCCTTATTAGGGTTCCTTATAGGAATCCTATTTCGAGCCCTACACCCCTGAAACCTAAACCCAGAGAACCCAATACCCCGTAATTAAGGAATATACCCTATAGGGGTACTTTAAAGGGATCTCTTGGGTTTAGGGTTCCTGAAATTATAGGGGCCTCAATGTTATGATTTAAGGTGTATTCCTTCATTAAGGGGTATTGAGATCTCTGGGAATCGGGAGGGTAAAGGCACACTATTATGCTGCGGGCTTATGACATCATGGTTTGGTCTTGGTGGATCCTTAGGGCTTTCGGGGCTCCTCTAAGAATTATTTGAAGGGTTTGAGGGATCCCTTGAGGGTTTAAGGGCTCCTTTAGGGTCAATATACCTATATGGTAAATACTTACGCCTGTGTGCTAATCTGCTATCGTGTCCTACTTGGAGGGTCGGGGGCCTTAGTAACTGGTTATTTTAGGGACTTAGAAGTACCATAACCCCAATTAAGATCCCTTTTAGGGTACTTAAAAGTCTACTTACTAACTACTTACTAAGTCCCCCGACCCCCCAAGTACTGGACAGCACGTCCATCTTGCTGCAGAAAGCCCATGCCCCAGACCCTAAACCCATGTGCAAAGGTTCAGAATGAACAGAAGTTAAACTCGCCAAACATCTCTCAACGACCCATTGGGTCTTTACCAAGGTCCCTCATGTAGATCCCAATACTTGGGGCCCAGTAGTGCCAGGGTTTCTTAATGAGGCTCCTGCGTTACACCACTAAACGCTCTAAACCCTAAACCCCGATAGCCGAGACACCACATCTAGGCTCCCGGGCGTCTCCATTACTGAGGGACCCCTTTTCCTGGTTTCAATAGAATTCCCCCAAAACCCAAAACTCTCAATGCACATGGGACGCTTGCTGCCCAGGATCGGCGTTCTAAGGGTGTCCGGAAGCCACTCTGATGCAAAAATCTGGCCAGAGCAAAAGCATGAGCATCCTTCTCGCTGTGCTGCGTTCGGGGCTTGGTTTAGGGTTTAGGGGTCTCACCATGGTCTCAAGGGGATCCACAAGGGTGTAGTTTTAGGGGTTGGTGTCTTCGCCCCAGATGTTTGGTCTTGCATCTTTCAGGTTTCGCGCCGCCGCGTTTTGGGCTTCGTAGTGTTCAGGTTTAGGGTTTCAGGGCACGGTTCAGTTTCTGTCCGGGTTTTAGTCTTGCAGTTGCTTTGTCCAGTTCATGAGGTCTATAATGGGTCGACGGGGCTGTAGAGGGTGGGTGTAGGATGAACAAAGCCTACCGGTTTGCTATGCTGATATTTGGGATCAGGATGTCTTGCAAGTTAACATAAGTATTCATAAGGACCCTCCGAGGGGTAGGGGGAGGGGGTAGGGAAAATTAGGACCTAATAAGGCTTGTTTAAGGAAGAACAGTCCCCTACCCCCCTTCCCCCAAGGGGTCTCTATGAAGTATTGAAGCCCGACCAAGCCTTATAACGAACCCGGAATTGGGTCCTCGAAGGGGTCCAGCTCCGTCGTGAAGGCTGGAACCAGGCCATCGACAGGCTCCATGTCCAGACCACGGTACAAGCAGGGCACTTGCCGGTTCAGCAGGAACCTGTAGCCATGCACATCACCTGGCAAGGGTTTATGGGTCTCTCTTCTTCAACAACCGGGCCCCAAAAAGTTCAAACTTTCTAAGATAGGGCAAATATGTATATATATATATATATATATATATACATATACATATATATATATATAAGGCCAAAAAGTTTAAAGTTCCCCCGTTCACTATCTAAGGGGTTTGGGTTTGGGGTTTAGCCGATGGGGAGCGGGGGCCCAGTAAGAGCGCACAGGCAAACTGGATTTATCATGGTGCTTTACACTCCCACCTTGCTCAAGGAGGTAAAACAGCTTGTTCCAAATCATCTGGGTCAATGCGCTCGCCTGGATCCACGTTGGGAGGGAAAGAAAAAGGGATCTTTGTTTTCGACTATTCAAACTCCTCGACCGCAAAAAGCAAGAAGTTCAGGGTTTAGGGTTTAGGGTATAGGGTTTAGGGTATAGGGTTTAGAGTTTAGGGTTTAGGGTATAGGGTTTAGGGTATAGGGTTTAGGGTCGCTAAAAACAGCCACGTCGCAACGACGGACTTGTCAGAGTCGCGGGACCATTGCCCTTGACCTGGCGCCTCTAAGATCCTCAAGATATCCATGCCTTGCTTGGGTTCTGCAGGGCTTAGGGTTTACGATTTCTTGGCTTAGGGTTTAAAGGGTTTTGGGAGTTGAGGGCTTTCGTAAGTTTCAGGGTAGGGGTACCTTGCTTGGGTTCTGCAGGGTTCAGGGTTTACCTTAACCCGGAAGAACCTACATTTTTAAGGGCTTGTAAAAGGAAATCATCATAAGGAACCCGAGAAAGGTAGGTTGTTCAGGGTTAAGGTAGGGTTTAGCACTTATTGGTTTAGGGTTTAAAGGGGTTTTGTAAGGGTCGGGGTAATGTAAGGGTTCAGGATTTAGGGTTAGCAACAAGTCTGAGAAGCCGCAAGAACCCTTCATCTCATGAATGGGCAGCTCGAGCTAACTTGTGAACCCAGCCTCAAGGCATTCAGTTGCAGGGTTGGGACTTACAATGGCAACTCAAGTGAAAACCGTGAACTGACTGCAATCTACCTGAACATAATCTTGTCAAAACCTTTGTCGTCCCCTGAAACAAAAACACGAAACCCCGAAAAAACCGAGTCGAAACCACTCTTGGAAGTGAACCCGCAGGGAGGGTTTAGGACTTTTTGGATTAGGAGTTAAAGGGGGTTTGTAAGGGTCGGGTAGTTTAAGAAATCCTCGGCAAGCTCTAAACCAATCTGACCCTACCCTAGCCCTACACCCTCACACCCTCTCTAAGCCTATGAAACCATAAGCCTCAACCCTAAGCCCTAAACCGCAAGCCCTAAACCCTCTCCGATGAAACCATACAGCAACCCTCAACCCGAAGAAACTTCTGTCAGCTGCGATGCTCAAGGTTTGCTGCATGGTGCCTTCGATCTCGATGCTGTAACCTTCAGGGTTCTGGCTAAGGATTTTTCTATGTTACAGCAAAGAATCCGTACTAGTTACTATAGATCCTTATTGTCGTAACATAAATGCCTTAAGCGGAAACCGTACTACGTACTATAGATCCCTATGGTGGTAACTTAAATGCCTTAAGAAGAGTGGCAACTTGGGAACTCAATGTGCCCCTACTTGGGGGATCGGGGGACTTAGTAAGTAGATAGTAAGTAGACTTATAAGTACCCCAAAAGTGACCCTAATTGGGGTTCTGGTACTTATAAGTCCCTAAAATAACCAGTTACTAAGTCCCCCGACCCTCCAAGTACTCTAAACCCTAAACCCTATACCCTTATAGAATCCCTATAGATCCCTTTAAAGGAACCCCAAAAGGAACCCCTTATAGTTACTAAGTTCCCTAAAGACTCCCCAAGTAAGAAGAACCCAGCCTTGCTTCCTTGCTGAGAGCTCCCTTGCAAGCCGTTCAGTTCGACACCATCCCCTGGCCTCGCTGTTGGTCCCATTTAAATAGGGTTTCCGAAAATTAGGGGAGGGGACCCAAATCTTAGGGTTTAGGGTTTAGGGTTTGCAATATTATTGGGGCTATAGGTCTGAGAATTTGAACTACTATGGGAGTTTCCGAAAATCGGGGATCCAAACATAGTGCCCTAAATGGCAGCAGGTTCTTAGTATAAGGACCCCAAACTAAGGTACCCCTAATTTTCGGAAACTCCAATCTGGCTGTCGCTTGAAGGCGGCTTGAAAACAAAGTTCTTATAAAGGGTCTATTTTCAGGGTTGCTATAAGGGCTACTTTAAGAATTTAGTATAGCGGCCTGAAGAATAAGAATATGGGGTTTGGGGCTCCTTTAAGGGTTCCTTACAAGGTTCTGTAAGGGATCTATAAGGGGACCATGTTATAGGGGCTTTATAATGATTAAGCTAAGGTTTTGGGGTATATTGTACATTATACTTTCTAGACATAATGAGGACCCCCCCAAAAAAAAAACAAGCACAGGTAATGATCCAGGCCCTTTCCATTATTAAGGGTCAGGTGTTTCGAGTCGAACGACGCCGTTGTCGTGAAACGCTAGGTCTTGGAAACCAGACGAATCTAGAGGTTCATGGGACTTAGTACGGGTTCTTAAAGGGCTCCTTAAAGGGATCTATAGGGTTCCTTAAAAGGGATCTTTGGGGTTTAGGGATTAGGGTACTACTTGGAGGTTCATGGGACTTGGTAAGTACAGTTATGGGTACCTTAACTGGGGATATAATCATTATAAGTATAGTTACCTTGAGTCTACTACACAGAAAGCCTACTTAGTCGGGTATCACGGAGAACTAAAGGTTAACCTTTTTGGCTTTCTAGGGATTATATAGGGACTATACTAGCCAAAAGGCTTAAAGGTTGCCTACTCTACTACACAGAAAGCAAGAAGCGGAAAGTGGATTCAAGAATAGGCAAGTGTCAGCCCAGGTTGTGAGGTCGAGCCTCTTGCCTTCATCCGCGTGCTCCACCCGAGGGCACAAAATGACGAAGTACTCAGATCTTGCTACATAGGTGGGGATGCTGCGAATGGCACCATTCCGGCAGCGCGTCGCCATGGAAGACATATCTTGAGGACAGCAGAAATAATCGTACCAAACGAAGAGGGCCTTCGACTGAAAGTCACGTGCCTCGGTTGGCCGCCAAGTTAAAAAGACGTGCGGAAAAGCTCCCAAAGTCAACACGGGCACGTTTTGCAATATCTTTTGGTAAAGCAAGCCCCTAGAGCTTCTACCAAGATCAACACAGAGACCCTGAAATCACAAAGCCATTCCACAACCTCAGCACCTCAGTAAGCACAAGTTAAGTTTTATCCCTGTAACAACCATCATGCCGGAGCAAAAGCAACAAAGACCTTCCAGCACCGTATAAAATCCCGCAGAGACAAGCCGTGTAGAAGCCATAACACTGCAATCAAACCAACGAGACCCTGCTAAAACCACCTTTAAAACTCCCTAACCCTAAACCCTCAACCCACAAAAAACAAGCCTAAACCCAGTAAAAAACAGCCCTGAACACCAAACCCACTCCTAAACACTAAACCCACCCCAAAAGCCAGAAACCCTAAACCCAATAAAACAACCCTAAACCCTAAAAGGCCCTAAACCTCACCTTTGGCTAGTGGGGAATGGAAGAATGATAGTAAGAATAGTAGTTATAATTCCACCCCATTCCTCCCTACTAACCAAAGGTAAGGACCCCCCCCCCACACCAAAAAAAAAAAAACACGCCGTCAGAGGTGCGCTTGGGCAGCGTAAGCGGCCGAAGGTCAGCTCGGAGCAGATGGGAAGACGAACCTGACCTGACACTTTTCAGGCGTTCAGGGTTTAGGGGTTTAGGGGGTTTAGGGGTTTAGGCATTTAGGGTTTCGGGGGTAGTTTAGGGGGTTGCTTTGGAGGTTCCTATACCTGCTGATTCTAGGAGTTTAGCATGCTTGAGTTAAGAAGGATTAAAGGGTTTAGGGTTAAGTTTAGGGGTTTATAAGGTTCTACGGATCAGGTTTTGGGGACAAGAAGGCGTCAGGCGTACAGTAAGGCTTTGTTAGGTTCATCCGGTTTTAGGGGTGTAGATTCGAGGATTTTAGGGTTTTCAAGGTTACGATTGTTGGGTAGGTTAGAGGGTTGGGTTTAGGTGTGCAAGGCCGGGTTTAGGAGTTTAAAGGCCTAGGGGTTCAGGGTTTAGGGTCCATGCTTAGAGGTTCATAGTACATAGTAACTATAGGGTTATAAATAAGGTAAATAAGGTAACTATACTTCTAATTGGTTATTTCCCCAGGTACGGTACTTTGCAGTGTACTTACTAAGTCTCATGAGCCTCCAAGTAGGAAATTTGGGGCTGAGCATGTTGCAGCATTCCGGGTTTAGGGTTTACTACTGTTGATGGACAAAATCCTGCATGACCCTAAGGACTCTAAACTATGGGAACTATGCTACATTCCTTATAATGGGTAATGCAGGATTTTGTCCATCAGCAGTACTAACGAGGCGTGATCTCCTGCATCTGACTGGACATAACCCCAAGGGTCCAAAGGTACTCGGTTTTAGGATGGTAGTTATGTAGGTTAGGATGTTGGAGAGTATATGGTTACAAGTTACTTGGACCCTTGGGGTAACGCAAGAGGTGCTGTTTCTTGGGAGTTGAAATTGGCTTCATAGGGTCTCACCGTCGGCTTTATTCGCATCGCCAGAGACGTCAACATGTACTTGGAATGGACTGCCAAGTTGCTGACACCTGATAAGAGATTCTTCATGGCGTCTTGGAAAATCCTGACTGCCCCAGGGAGTAAACAGATGCAAAGCTGCTGGAAAAAAGAAAACACAACAATATGCGCATGGAAGCCCGAACGCGAGTTAAGAGAGCTACTTAGTACAAAGCCCGCTCTTGCTAGGTACACCAGTAGAAACAGTCCGTTGAACAAAACATATTGGGAACAACACTTGCAACAAAACTTCGCATCAGGAACAATAACCATGACAGCAGTATTGTGGCAAAAATGGCACCTGAAGAAAATGCTTAAATCCTTAACCCATAAACCTCAAGACGTAGACTCTAAACCCTAATGTAGGAACCTGATTAAGCAACCTGGGGTTCTTTGTTAGGCTTCTGTTTTTTGTTGATCCTAATCTGTTGGGGTTATAGAACCAGGGCGTCTTCATCAGGCTCCTACATTACTTGCGCCGCCTTACGAAACAAGTCCACAACAAATACTCAAGTACTTGGAGGGTAGGGGGACTTAGTAACTGGTTATTATAGGGACTTATAGGTACCATAACCCCAATTAGGGTCCCTTTTAGGGTAATGATAAGTCTACTTACTAACTACTTACTAAGTCTTCCGACCACCCAAGTATGGTACTCCAGAACCCAGAATGATTACCTATTCTTGACTGAACTTGGACCCATAGCAAAAACTGTACTTCTAAGCTGCTTCTTAGGGAATTACAATAGCAAAAGATTGCAAAACTATGTCGAAGTACCCCTAAGTATTGGCGAAACGAGGCTCCGAAACTGCTCCAGCGCCGGGTCGGGGTGACGGTGACCGGCCCACTGGTGAGAGACGAATATCGCCTTACATAGGGTTAAGGGTATAGTTGCTGAATTCAGACCCGCCCCGCTCAAAGAACAAATTGCACACTTTCAGTTGTATAGTGACTTCATAAGCCCCCCAAAAGAGCTTCATAAGCACCAACAAGTGCACACTTTCAGTCGTATAGTGGGTATTGTTGTCATCAAAAAGTGTAAAGTGTATCCACTCAGCTACCAAGTCGCGTTTCCCAAGCTTTCATGAAATGCCGTGAGGGCCCCACTGGCGAACATCTCCTTAGAATTGCAGGGTTACGTGCGTAGGCTTTACCTTGAGACACCATTATAGTTCCTGTTTCTGGTTCATACTGAGGATCCTATAAGTTAATCCCCAAAAGGAACTACAATGGAGCCTATGGGTTGGGCGAGGAAGCCAGGGGCGCAGGCTCTTAGAATCAGGCGAAATTCCCGAAAGTGTGTCAAAGAGCTTTGTACCTTGGACATCGTTGGGATGGCATGATGTGATGATGTTGATGTGAAGCTTTCGAGTTGGGTTTTTCGTGCCGTGGTCTCCTATAGTTCTTAACCGCGTGTATACGGTATCTTTTAACGTGCGCGGCAAGGTATGATTCATGGGTAGTTATAAGTAGCGTTATAAGTAGGGTAACTGTGCTTATAACCCATATTAGGGGACTTATAACCCTACTTATAACTACCCATGAACCTCCAGGTGACGATCGGCATTCGGAAGTGACAACCCTCTCGGTGCTGCCGGCGGGTCCACGTCCGGTACACTCGCAGTTAATTTTATGCTTGTAAACACCCTATCCCCGTCTTAAGCCCTTATAGAACCCTTAAAGGAACCCTAAATTATGGTAACTTAATCTAAATCCCATTCTACACCCAAGAGTAACCTAGGAATGACAAGGGTGCTTTTTTGTTTAACGGAGGCTTAGAAGGGAACCTGTACCCTTAAAACGGGAATAAGGGCCTGCTCTAGTCCAAGCAGTTAATTCTATGGGCCTATAGTGTTGGATGCGAAACGACAACACTGACAACCCCGTGGTGGACCCGCCATGTGCGGGTAACGCATGCGAGGTGCCGCGTGAATCCTATCCCGGAAATGCCTGAGTCACACCATGATTTAAGGGAACATGTGCATCATCTCTGCACGCCGCCAGGACATCGGGGAAACATGCTGGGCGCGCTTCTATCCCATCTGAACCCCACCAGAAACGGAGGCAAGCGGTTTGGGTTTGGTCGCACGAAATCGTGCATTGCCGTGACGAGTCGATTGGTCATGTCTCTGAATCCCTCCAGTGCATGTGAGAAACATGTTGGCCGTGCTCATGCATCCCGCCAGTACGTGGGGAGAAGCACTTCGGTCGCCGCAAATCGTGCTGCGCACCTGGTTCCATGACGATTCGTGTTCGGAATTGTGACAATGGGGGAAGCATTTCAGCCGTCGCCAGTACATGGGGGGAAGCATTTTGGTGGAGGGTTTGTAAAATACTTTACCGACGGGTTGCATGGATGGCGTGGATGGATGGGTGGATCTATGAGATGATGCTCGGCGTTAACTCTACTCTGAGTGCCTTCGGAATTCTCCTGCTCTCGGCTTCACAAGCCTCTTCTGCCCTAAACCCTAAACCCTCGGGTTAGATAAGGGAAAGCTAAGTCTCTTCGTAGGGTCTCAGCGCCGTCATCTCAAGAATGGCCTCCATCGTCACAGTGTACATGGGAAACTCGATGTCCTCCCTTCCCGACCTCTCAGCGGCAAGCACGGCAAGCACGAGCTAAGTTGTAGAAGCCTCAAGAACAGCAAAAAATACTCCTTCGGGCTCCATATATTTAGTATACTAGGCCACGAACCATATTCGAATCAGTAAGACCCGTATACTACGGAAAGACTGCTTGGAAACCGAATTCCGACGCCATGCGTGCAAACCCACACTTGCACCACAACCACAACATGGTCTTGGGGTATGGCACACCCCAGAGAGCCCAATACCTCTTAAATAAGGACTATACCTTAAATTATAGAGGCCTTAATATTATGATTCAAAGTATATTCCTTCAGCAAGGGGTATTGGGGTCTCTGGGACCACGACATTGAGTCTTGGCAGATCCTCGTCTTCAGCACCTCCGAAACTACACAGGATGACAAATCGCACAGTTTGCAATGCTTGTAGCTGCAACCTTAGAACCCAAACCCCCCCAGACGACCCTGTCGGGCGATATAACGCGATTTAGGATTTAGGGTTTAGTGATCCGACTCTAAATCCAACCCCGCAAAACTAACATCGTGCAAAGACAAGCTAACAACGCACCTCCTTGCAGTCATCTCCGCTTCCGGGATCTCATTCAGAGAGGCGGAAAACCAATGGAGTGGCGTGTCCGACATTAGTCGCAGTCTGGGTTCCGCAGGGCTACTACAAGGGTCTGGGGTGCGCAGGTTCACGGGTGTAGGGCAGAGGCTGTAAGGTGTAGGGCTTAGGGGTTCAAGTGTCCAAGACGGTCAATAGGATTTTGAAGGTACTTGGAGGTTCATGGGACTTATAAGTACCTTAACTGGGGAAATAGCCAATTACAAGTATAGTTACCTCATTTATAACCCTAGTTACTAAGTACCATGAGCCTCTAAGTAGGATTCCGGGATGTTACATATCCCAGCAAGACGACGGCAAATGGTCGGCCCAATGGTCAAGGCCCCCTATACATAGCTATACATAGATAGACATACATTCTTGCATACTTACAATTTTCAAGCTGGGGAGCCGTTAGGAACAGTACTACCAACCATTCTCCGAACCCTGCACGCTCACGCCTTGGGGGGCGCTTATCGCCCTTGGAAAGGTGCCGATTCGGCGTCTGACGAGGTCTTCGCAAGACCAAGCCGAAAGGCTGCGCAAAAGGGGCAACCCTAAACCCTAAAGCCTATAAGCCGTAAACCCTAATTCTTAAGTCTTAAGGGGCCTTCACAGTTCGAGTGGGCCCTTCTAGGTTCCTTGAAAGGCTTCTGAGTCTCTACAATGGCTTGTACCAAGGTTACTACGAGGGCCTCGCTCGTGCTTAGTATAGAGCCTATTCTTTGAGGGGGCACCTTAAAACAAGTACAGTATACTGGGCCCTAAAACCCTATTCTAATTATTAAGGCCCCATAATGTTTCTGATTTCAGAGTAGACTGACATAACGGCGTCTGTGTGTAGAACTGCAGGCACGCACATGCACTACGACTGAAGCAACCGCTGGGTTCATTAAGGCAGAGACTGGACATGTGCTTTCAGAACAACTTCAGCTGTAGCCGCAGCAAGCAATGATGGGAACAAATTTCTGGAATTTATTCGGGGGTCTTAACGATCAGAACAGGGTATGGGTATAACTATACTTAACTAAGTTCAGAAACCCTCAAGAATAGTATTACTGTTACTTGGTGCTTCCGTATCGCTTTATCTAAAACCAGCCAAAACCCCGAACGAATATCCGAACACCAAAACCCACAATGCCCAACCTTAACTGGAATTATCCTAACCCTAAACCCGAAGTCCCTCTATATATATATATATATATACATATATATATACATACATACACACTATAATCTACAACAAAGCCCTTTTCTGATTGTTAAGGCCCCTGTACTAGAACCGCACGGTCGACCCGAGATCCCGAACCCCAAGTCCGACTTCTTTGAAACGACGTTACTTGGAGGGTCGGGGGACTTAGTAACTGGTTATTTTCGGGACTTTAAGTACCAAACCCCAATGAGGGCCCCTTTTAAGGTACATATAAGTCTACTTACTAACTACTTACTAGGTCCCTGAACCCTAAACCCTAAACCCTATACTATCCTTATAGAGCCCTTGCAAGGAACCCTTAAAATCCCCTTTAAAGGAGCCCTTACTAAGTCCCCTAAAGACCCCCCAAGTACTCACTGCCATAACCCGTCATCTAAGGCCAGCCCCACGGGGGTGCTACATGGGGGTTTCCGAAAATTAGGGGGGTACCTTTAAAGGGATCCTTTCAGGGTTCCTTAAAGGGATCGTTTAAGGGATCTATAGGGTTTAGGGTTTCCGAAAATTAGGGGGGGTGCCTTATTTTGGGGTGCTTATAATCAATATCCTACTCTTTAGGGTACTATATTTGGGTCCACCATTTTCGGAAACACCCATATAAATATGGACAAGAGTACCAGGAGTCCAAATTGGGTTTGTCGCTTCGGGGTCA